CCCAGGACTGCAGCTGGGGAGGCGAACCTGTGGGGGGGCACTTCTTGTTGAGCTTTTGTTCCTTCAGGTGTGCTTAGAGCCAGAGGATGCCCAAAGAGCCAGTGCCTAAAGATCCACCCACACATGTGGAGATGCTTTGAGCAGGCCTGGTGGGTCCAGTGCGGACAAGTCAGAGGCACGTTCAGGAAGATTTGCAGTTGGCAGCAGCCTAGCAAACAGCGGCCCTTCTTGGTTGGTGCCAGAAGCGGCGGGGGGCTTGTTCCGGGGGGGGGGGGGGTGTACGACACCAGGGCCAGGAAGCTGTGCGTAAGGGCACACGTCCTGTGCAAACACCGAGTGTGGCAAACCCTGTTAGTCTGGAGGTGGGGCGCGGAAGGGGAGGGCAACACCAGCTTCTTTCTAGACTCTTCGCAGGTCCGCTAGCATCCCTGGTGGCTTGATTTAGAAATGTGGTCCTGCATTACTGTGGCACGGACACCCCCCAGAGGCTGGAGCGGCTTCTTTCCCAGGAAACCGAGGACAGTCCAGAGTAAAGGTGGAGTTTGGGTTGAGGAGAGCTGCTCTTTCAGCCCGTTTCATTTCAGAAGAGCTGAGAACCTGAAAGCTAAGTGCTTCCTAGGAAAAAGCAGAGGACTTCCGTGTCGGTCTAAGCCATGTGGGTAGGAGGGACCCCAGTTGATGAGGGGGCGGGTGAGGGGGCGTGATAACTCTGTTCTCAGATTCCTTTCCCAGAACCCCAAGGCCTTCTGGCCTGGAACAAAATCAGAATATTCAGCGTCTAGACTGGCAAGTAATTTTCTGGTTGAAAAAGTTCAGAAGAGATTGGCCTTCAAAATAATGGTAGATCCTTCGACAACAGCCCCGGCCAGCTCAAAGCTGCGGGTGTTGAACGAACAGCACCGGCTCTCCCGTGTTCCCCTCAAGGGGAGGAGAAGGCAAGCGTGGCCTGTCCGTGACACAGCTGTCCTGAATACAAATCCCCGAGGAAACGTTGAGGCTAAGTCTTGGCTGGGGGGCTGCTGGATGGTCTTGACGGTAGCTGCAGCAGCTTGTGGTTCTCTTTTGGTTTTTGCAGGTGCTTAATATGTCTTAAGGCTACTGTAGAAGCCTCAGGGAGAGAGATGGCGCTTGTGACCCTGGTGTGTGATGCCTTCTGATGGTAGCTTGTGTAATGTTTCAAGTAAGAGCCTGCTCTTGATTGCTTCCTTTTGTAAACGAGCCTCTGAATCTAGGAGTGGCGACCGGCCTTCTTTCTGTACAACTGATTCTGTAATGTGCCAGATTGATCAGGACCACGGTCTCGGATGGCTCATGTAAGCTGGTATGACGGATGCATCTGTATTAAACTTGAGAAAGCGCACTGTATGCTCTTGGAATGTGTCTTGTCCAGTGTCTCGGGGTGGGGCGTGGCGTGGCGTGGGGAACAACTCTTGTCTAGACCTTTTTTCAGATCCGCCTCCCGGAGCCTGGGACGGAGCACGGCCTCCCGTAAGCCAAGGGCGCAACCTCAGTGGGAATGATAAGGAAAGGCAGAAATGTCCCTGACCTTGGTGGAAAAGGGCCCAGAGGCGACCCAGTGAAAATCCCAGATCAGCCAGCGGGGAAAAGCCATAAGCCATGACAAGGCAGAGTGGAAGTGTTTGGATTGAGTGAGAAGTGAAGGCCCATGAAATCCCCCCAGTTCTGGGCAGTGAGGAGCAAAGCCCGAGGAAAGAGCCCATGACTCCCGCACGGAGTGTCTCTGAAAGGAAAATCTCCAGGGAAACCGGCCAAGGCGATTCCTACCAACCCAGTCCCAATTGGTGACGAGCATTATGCCTAAAACGCAGAGGAACTGGAGAGTGCCGTAGTGTTGGAGCCACCGTCTCTTGGCAGGCTTGTGTGTTGATTGCTTACTTCAGACAGGTGCTCAGCGCGGCTGAGGAGGAGCTTTGCTTCATGCCAGCGGGAGCTGTGCAAGGCCTACAGGCGTCTGTGGCAGATAAGTCTTACCGCTTCTTCTAGTGCTGCATGTCAGGGAAACGGGGCCGGCCAGCGCTTTTCCAGAGTGAGCCAGTGGAGCAGCAGGAGCCCGCGAGGTTTGCCCCGGCCCTTGAGGCCGCTTCTCCAGGCGTGGGCTGGGGTGCCTGGGGCCCCCAGTCGCTTTCGGGGGGAGCTACTGCTCTGCCCTGCATCCGCCGCCTTCCACCTCCGGGCAGACGGGCCTCGATCGCCCAGCCCGCTTCAGGCGGGCAGGCCACTACGGTGGCACGATCGCTTTGCCGGGTAACCCCGCTCACCGGAGGCTGCCTTAACTACTCAAAGCTCTGCGCCTCCCATCAGAAGGAAAACAAATTCTACATTCTGTTGTCGCACTGAACTCGTTGTGTAAACCCTGCAGGACAGGAGTCATTCATTCCTCTGTAATAAAGTGACCCATGTTCTCCAAGAATAGGAAGTTGTCGTACTTTTGTTGTCCCCATGAAATGTGCTGTTGCTGTTTTGTGAATGGTCCGGGGGTGTCTCGGCAGGGGCGGGGGGGCATTCTTGTCGATCTTTCAGAGTCTTTCTCCATGAACACCTGATCTGTATTGGACAAGAGCAGCCTTGAACGGAAGACCGATACTCTAAATCAGGCAGGAGAGTCTTTGCAGCATCTATTTTCCTCTGTTTCTCTTTGCACTGAGACAAATGCTAGTTCCAGGCAATTGACACGTAGCGATCGTATAATGCAGGAAAAGCAAGGGAGGAGTCTAAAATGCTAAAAACTAGACCAGTGGGGGAAAAAACACTTAGCCATATGGGGTAAGTAATCTGTTCATTCGTGTCTTTTGGCTAAAGGAGCTCTCGGTTCTTCCCAGGCCTCGGCCTCGGTCCTCTGGACCAGGCGCACCTAAAGTTGAGGACAGAACTGGTCCACCGTACGTCTGTACGTCCGAACCAAGCACAGTGCCCATCAGCCGCATCTCTAGAAATTGCATGCGAGCCCCGAGACCTGCTTGTGTCCCTTTTTGAGTGCTGCCAAGCTGCCATCCTCCGTCATCTAGCCTTTAGCTGTCATTTAGCATCACGGCAGGCTGTGGGGGGACAGCTGGTGGGGGGGGGGCAACTGTTGAGTGTTTTGTTTCAGAGGCTTCATCTCATAATGCATAGCTGCTAGCCAACCCCTTGTGCAGCCGCCCAGGACGACCGGCTCGCCTGGCGCTCCTCCTGTGTGCGCATGTGTGTCCCGTCCACCCACCCTCTGCAGTGAGTTACCCAGACACGCCAGCGCAACGGGTGCTTTTGACACGTGGGGCGGGGGGAGGGCTCACCTTTTTCCAGCTCTTCTTTTTTTACAGACCTCCCAGAGATAACCGTGTCTGCAGCAGATCTGTTCAGTTGGCAAGTAATGCGATGCAATGTGTTGATCTGCTTGCATAGAGTTTA